TCCAACAATCCCCCACATGAATGAAAAATTGATTTGGGGTCGACAACATCCCACGGTTGAAAACCTGCTAAGAACATGTAAGTGTCTCCACTTTTGAACATGTCCCTTGTAAAGTATACCTTCTTTACTGGCTGTTCAGTAGAACGCGATGTCTTTGAACTGTACTGCCGCTTGTGTAAACGATAGTATACCATACACAGATTCCAACCAAACGCCGTTCTGTTCTCATGATTGTGGCCACTTTGGTCGTGGGACACGCGCCTGGTTCTGCGAGAGTGTTTAGAGGATTAAGCCCAAGATCCTCCGTTTGAAGTGACCACACTTCACTCTTACATAGGTGATTCTTTAAGAGTATCCTGATTACTCCCCTTAGACCACCGTGTCTATTGGTTAAGAATCATTAAAGCATATTTATATGCTAACCTCATCATTTTTGGGAGTCACTGTCTTCAGCAGGAACAAAAGGGACTGACCGAAGGTTCCGGTACCGCCCCCACAGTGACCTCGCTTTATCCTACAAGTAGGTTGTCCCATTGAACCTGGGTACCAGCCAGGTTGGGTTTTCCTTCATAGGACTGTCCTAGCATAAGGGCTTCAAACCCATTCCTGCCACCAACTTCTCATGCAACTCATTTGTTAACCCTTTGGTTAGCGGATCCGCCAGATTATCTTTTGACTTCACATAGTCAATTGTGATAATCCCAGTTGTGAAAAGTTGTCTAATGGTTTTGTGTCTACGACGAAATGTCTAGACTTACCATTATACATGTTACTCTTTCCACATGTTCTTGTGTATTTCTGGATATCAGACCTATACACTAATAATCGATACGCGCTACCACTGTAGCCAATAAAGACTCCATCAATGGTCTTTGGACCAATCTTTATTTTTTTCTTTTAGTGGTGGTGCTAAAACATTTGCAAGGCACCCCTACACTTTCAGGTATTTATAGGAAGGTTTCCTATTATACCACAACTCATAAGGAGTCTTAACGAGTTTCTTTTAGGGTATTTTATTTAACAAATAATTGTTAGATAAAATAGCCTCCTTTAGGACCAATTTTCTTCTTGTCCTTGTTTGGCTTAGGTCCTTTGGAAGAACCCTCTTTGAGTGGATGCTCCACCACATTGGCCTAAAGTGTTGGCTCGTCCGCATTCTCCCCCACAACAGGGGGATCCTCCCTCAAGTACCTCGCAAGGTTGAGGGTGGTCAGCCAAAATAATATCCTTTGCTGCCATGTTTTAAAGCCAACACCTGTGAACTTCGTCGGTTCTTTGACAGAGTTCGCAGGCAGCATAACAGTAGGATGTCCGACCGGTGCGGATGTGAAAACACCCGCGTTCGGTCCAAGTGAGGGAATGACCGGTATGGCCGAAGCCATATTCGGTCCGAGTGGGGTGACCATTGCGGCCGTAGTCGCGGTTGGTCCAATAACCGAGGTGACCGGAGCAAACCCCATAGTCGCGCTCGATCCAATGAAGGCAGTGATCGGAGTGGACCCCATGGCCGCACTCGATCCGAAAGGAATGTTGATCGGAGTGGTCTGCCCAACAGAGCCACCCAATCCAGCCGAAATGTTCACCACCGGAGTCTCGGAACTACTCCCGTTTCCGGTGTGAGCGTCAAAACCGAATCCGTCCATACCCGCCATTGAGCACGGATATCACTACTACCTTAAGATTGTTACAATTTTTGTACGGATTACAACGGACGAGGAAGACAAACGGACCCGAAAAATAAAATTAAATAAAATTCTAAATTTATAACTTATTCAGAATATTACAAGATAAACAGAATTGAAAATAAATTTCAATATCTTCAAACAGCCTTGTTGTACGAGGACATTATGCACTGGACAGCGAGGACATTACGCACTAGACAGCAAGGACATTATGTCCTAGGGCAGAATGCAGCGAGGTCTTTATGAACTAAACCTGCAAAATAAAACACCGTGAAGGACAGCGGAGTCGGCGGAGCTGTCCTTAAGGTAGTAGTGCCCGCCTACCGTACCGGAAAACCGTGGGCACTCTCCTCCCAGGATAAAACCGCTATCGTGTGTGGAGATTGTACGGATCAACCACACACCAACGAACAAGAACAACGTAGGAACGTTGGCGACCAAAAACTTTAAAGGGGATGGCCGGAAATTTGGCCGGAAAACCAAGAGCTCTCTCAAAAAATAAACAAGAAAGATTTTCTTTCTTTTTCTTTTTGTTTCTCACGTGAAGCACATAAGGAAAATGGAGAGGAGCCCTTTGATTTTATAACTAAGGTGTTTAAAATGTGTAACTCCTACACCATTAACCCTTAGAATTAATCATGGCATTTGTGGCACACTTAATACCGTGTTAATGGTGATTAANAAACAATACGTAAAATTAATAAAAGAAGATTGGTTCAGTAAAATTGCAAAAATTGCAATCCTCACCATATTCTTTTATTAACGGGTTAACTCTGAGAATCAATTTCTCATTCACCCTTTACCATTTTTGGCGTAATATTTGTCAAAACATTTATCTCATTTAAGAGAAAACACGTCCATTAATTAACGATTAAAACTGTTAGTGGACCTATTGACAAATATACCCTAGTTGGTCCATTTAATACCTATTAAAAATGCCAAAAATTCCAACAAACCAGTGGTTTGACCAGTTGAACCACTTGTTCGACTAGTAAACCAGTAAACTAATATTTTGACCGGTTTAGTCATCCTTCCGGTTGTGAAAACTATAGTTATGATCAAAATATTACATGGTGAAAATCGAAAGAAAATAATGAAAGTGGGGAGAAAGAAAGGGAGAGAACATAGTTTTTGTGAGGAGAGAGATACTGCGTATCTTATTAATGAATAAAAAAATTTAGTACATGTTCCATGCATGATTTATTTGTAATACTTGTAAATATACGAGTATCTTCCTCTCAAGAATAAAGTCAATAAGTGCTTAGCATATATGGGCATCCCCACATTATATTACTGATGATCCCACAAAATTCCAATATATAACCTGCTCAATTCCATCCATCTCTTTCCTCGCAGCTTCCCCATATTGTATTGTTCTCTATCTAACAATATAATGGCATTCATAGCCATACTCATTTGTCTCTTGGTGGCCCTCATCATCATCATCTTCTTTTGCTTCTTCATTTTTTGTGTGAAACCATACTGCAAGTGCGAGATCTGCAAGGCATATCTGACCTCGAGTTGGACCTCGGAGGCCGAAAACCTGGTGGATTGGTACGCGGACCTGCTGAACAAGTCCCCCACCGGGACCGTCCACGTGCACGTCCTCGGCAGCGTCGTCACCGCCAACCCCGCCGCCGTCGAGCACATTCTCAAGTTGAGATTCGAGAACTACGGCAAGGGGGAGGCGTTCGCCGCCTTCGTCGGGGACTTGCTGGGCCGGGGCATCTTCGTCGTGGACGGCCACGCGTGGGTGCTCCAGCGCAAGCTGGCGAGCCGCGAGCTCGGCAGCGTCTCCGTCCGGGGCTACGCCCTGGACGTCGTGGCGTGGGAGGTCCGGCACCGGCTGTTCCCGGCGCTGGAGAGGGCGGCGGAGGGGGGCGGGGTGGTGGACTTGCAGGACGTGCTGAGGAGGTTCTCGTTTGATAATATATGTAAGTTCTCGTTCGGGATGGACCCGGGTTGCCTGAACTTGTCGTCGCCGGTGTCGGACTTCGCCCGCGCCTTCGACCTCGCGTCTACTCTGTCGGCTCAGCGGGCCATCACTGCTTCCCCCATCCTTTGGAAGGTAATGCTACCCGTCCGATGGAGTAATTGATTCTTTTTTTTTTCTCTAAGCTAATGATTGGGGATGCACACACAAAAATGTGTATTCTATTTCTCTTAAATTTTCACTCTTACTATTTGGTGAATAAAGCTAGGAGTACCCTAGATTAGGCAAACACAGAAACTAAAGTGTCTGTAATCACAAACATTTAATGTCTCTGTTTGTTTAGTGTACAAATAGGATACACCATTTTCCAGTCCCCCTAGCATTGTCCTATTTTTTCTTTGGAAGAATTTACTTAAATAGAAATACTTAAGTGGTGTACTCCAGGTGTACATCACCTTTATCACAGACACAATAAAACATTCAGTGTCTGTGTGATTCACAGATAATGGTGTGTATGTGTGTCTGTAAGAAGCATAGTATACACCTAAGATACATGCACCGCCTGGGGCACCCCAAGCAAACCTCTATTGTTTTTTAGACTTCGATATAAATTTAATGTTTTACTTCGTCCATGTCAAAACATCTTTACACTTGAGTATTCTTTTTATTTTTTGATGGTACAATTGAGTAGTCTTGGTTCAACATTTTACTCCATAATAAACTTTGACCATGTATATATAATGCGAATAAACAATATTGAATTGTTTCCGAATGTCAATACACTCATTTAGGAGGTAAAAATTTTAATCTTATTTTCGAAATATATTTTAGTTTTAATCTAAAAGTATTCTTATTATTTACTCCCTCCGTTCTCAAAAACACTTCCTCTTTCATTTTTTCTATTTCCAACAAAATACTTCCCTTTTCTATTAAAAAACCACTTTTACCCTTACTTTTTCATACCCTACCTATCACATCATACTTTTTCTCTAATAATCTATCCATCACATCTTACTTTTATCCATCACATCAGGGGCAACATTGGAAATCAAATATAATTTAACACTTCCTTATTTTTGACCCAAATCCAAATGGGAAGTGTTTTTCCAAACGGAGGGAGTAATATGTAGTTTGTTTATAGTTATTAGATTGTCTCATTAGATTGTTTATGGTTATTTACTCTTTATGTAGTTTTTAAGTGCCAAACACTTTAATGGAGCAAAGCTCTATGGAATACCATCAATCATACTCCCTCCCTTCTTTGTTCTTTCTCGAGTATTTGTCTATTTTTTAAGTAGTATTTTTCAGTCAAATTTGGTAAACTTTGACATCAAATAAAAAAAATTGATGCCAATACAAAAACAATTTTATTTGACTTACTTAAAAATAATTTTCTAAATATTATTTTATTTAAATAATATATAATTTATATTTTATTTAATCAAAGATCAAAAATTGATAATGATTGGTTACAAAAAGTTAAAACTAAACAAATAAGCATTTGCTACCTGTATCTCACTATACTCGTCCAATTTGTGTTTTTTAAATCAAATTGGACAAACTTTAGATTTCAATTAAATAAAAATTATACTCTCTCCGTCCCCTTAAGATGTTCTCATTTTGACTTTTGGTGGTTTTTAGGGAGAGTTGAAAAAAGGTGAAGTTTATCATAATACTCTTAATGAAAAATAGGTGGAGTGTGTTAAATGAGGTGGGTGAGGTAGTGTAATAAATAAAGTAAGTGGAGATAGTTGTGGTATTTTAATTGTTAAAAAATGAAATGAGAAGATCTATTGGGGACAAAGAAAAAGGGCTATTGGGAAGATCTATGGGGGGCGGAGGGAGTAATTTATATTAGTATAAAAATAATTTGATTAGATTTATTTTATTGAGAAATTTCAAAACTTTATTTCATTATATCAACCTGCAATGTAAATTGAGAATAATAATAATCATCATGTGTGTATAGAGCTGGCAAATCGGTCGGTCAGGTCGGATTCGGGTTCGGTCACTTCAAGTTCGGGTTATTTCGGGTTCAGGTCAATTCGGGTTCGGGTTGAGAACTGTATGTTCATGACCCAGTATCGTCGGGTTCGGGTCGACCCAACGGGTTATGACTTTGATTTTTAAAATTTTTAAATTCACATTACCACTTACATTTTCTATTAAATAAATTTAAAATATCAAAAAAAAATGTATTAAATCTATAAAATTAATTCATTTTAAACTCTAAAGTAATTTTTTAGATATATAAATCAATATAAGGAATTTAAAAATGCTTAAGTTTTGGAAAAAAGTAAGATAATTATGCAATATCATTAAAATTTTATCTTCAAATATAAATTTGTACACTAAAAACGAGTAGTAAAGTGTATGATTTTGAAAAATTCTTACTTTAGCGGGTCGGTCAGGTCGGGTTCGGGTTCAGTCGGGTTTGACCCATTTTTAGCGGGTCATTTCGGGTTCGGTCAACTTCGGGTTCGGTCATCAAAACCTTTGTTCAAAACTCAGTGTTTTCAGGTCGGGTTTCGGGTCAAAAACAGGTCGGGTCATTTTTTGCCAGGTCTATGTGTATACAAATATACGATTCATGACATAAAATAATTATTCGGCACTTTTTGTGTTAGAATGGCGGCATAAATTATTAGTGAGTACTCGTATTTATATTTGCAAAAGTGACACGCATGACTAAAATGAAGAAGACGTCAATATTTTCAAGCAAAGGAAATAACTTTTAATCCTCCTTCCATCCCATTAAAAATAATACGGAGTATTTATTTAATTTTTATTTTTTTTAGAATACTTATATTTTACAATTAATGACAAAATAAAAAATATGAGACCGTAAAATTTCAGAAGCCCTTTAGGGTTGGCCACTTTACACACAACTGTGGCAACGGAAACAATTAATAAAACTAATGTGACTGCTTTTATATTTGTGGGATGATGATAATAGGTAAAGAAGTTGCTGAACGTGGGTTCCGAGAAAAAGCTAAGGGAGGCCATCAGATTGGTGGACAAACTGGCCGTGGAACTGATCCGACAGAAGAGGAATGGTTGCGGCGGCGGAGACGGCGGCGACTCCGACCAACCCAATAACAGTAACAATAATCTTCTGTCGAGGTTCATGGAGAACATCTCCGACGAGAAATTGCTCCGCGACATCGTAATCAGCTTCCTTTTGGCGGGAAGGGATGCCATCGCTTCGGCACTGACCAGCTTCTTCTGGTTACTGTCGAAGTACGGCGATGTCGCGGACATGATCCGGGCAGAGTCGGGCCGGGTGATGGAGCCCGGCCAGGACCTGCCCAGTTACCCGCAAATCCGCGACATGCATTACCTGGCGGCAGCGGTCCACGAGAGCATGAGGCTCTTCCCGCCCGTGCAGTTCGACTCCAAGTTCTGCGCCCGCGACGACACGCTCCCCGACGGGACGTTCGTCGCGAAGGGGACTCGGGTGACGTACCACCCGTACGCGATGGGCCGGATGGAGTCGGTCTGGGGACCCGACTGCCGGGAGTTCAAGCCCGAGAGGTGGCTGGAAAACGGGGTCTTCAGGCCCGAGTGCCCGTTCAAGTACCCCGTTTTCCAGGCGGGCCCTCGGGTTTGTTTGGGAAAGGAAATGGCGTTGGTGGAGATAAAGAGTGTCGCGGTGGCGGTCGTCAGGGCTTTCGACGTGAAGGTTGTTACGTGTTTGGCAAGTAAGACTCTGAGGTACGCGCCTGGTTTGACCGCCACCGTGAGAGGCGGGCTTCCGGTGATGATCAGGCGGAGGCAGCCACCATATATATATAATAATTAGCTAGCTTGTAGATGGTGTTGTTTGGATACATGTGAATGTAAGACGAAAAAAAAAAAGGATTTCAAGTGCGTGTAGGGACTTTGCCGTATTGGCATCTTACCATGAAACCAGGCAATTTCAATCCAATCTGGAGCTATCATAAATTTTTAATCACTCCGACCAATGGCATATATATAGTTTATTCGTACGTTTATATTACGTATAATAAGGGTCACATTTTTAAAATGAAAAATTTACCCTAAATAAAATTAAAACATAAGTCATTTCCCGCAAATTATATTCTACAACCGGCTGTACGGGAAGAACTATATAACCTGTGAAAATTAGCGATCAAGTAGAGCGCAATTGAGTTAAAACCTAGGTGCGTTTGATCGGAAAACGAAGGTAGTACAGAGCAATTGGAGGGCGGGGAGCAGATCGGCGAAGATGATGGTGAAGATTATGGTGGAGATAGTGATGGTGATGTGATAGTGGGGAAAGCGATTGTATTGCAGATTGAAGGGTTCGTGGGGAAGTAGATGATATAGAAACTTTTAGTCCGAAATAAGTCATTGTTTGGGTGAGGGAGAAGAAGAAGGGTTGGAGATTGATTTTAAACTAAGTGGAATGAATGAACGCTACTTTAGTTGAGAATGAACAATATTTTATTTGAGAATGAGTATCACTTTATTTTAGAATAAATACTATGTTATTTGTAGATTATATTAATATTATAATTGTATGAAATAATTGTATGAAAATGAGTACTACGTTATTTCAGAATGAGTACTACATTATTTAAAAATAAATACAACGTTATTTCAAAATGAACAATTATGTTTGTACGAGAATGAATACTATTCTCACTTTCATTTCGTAAAGTTGTTTTTTATTCAATTTATTTAAGTATTAGTATAAAATCATAAAATTAAATATAAATATTTTAAAGAGTAAATTCCTAAAATAATTTTTTTTACTTGAGTGATTTTCCAAATTAGTCCTCAATAAGTTTTAAAAATGTCACTTAAATTAGTCCTCAATAATTGGGTGATTCATAAAAATGTCACTTAAATGGTGATTAACCGGAGGATGTTTTGGTATTTCCAAATTCAAGTAAATTTTAAAAAAATATTGACTATACATAATCCATAAATTATTAAAAAACTATCAAACTATTTTAAAATTTGAATTAAATACACTTCTTTAATTAGAAAAGATCATTTTGAAAAGAACGGTTCATTAGAAATGATAAATTTGAGAACTTACTCTGTGTTTAGATGATAAAAATACAACATAAGAATTTATTCATTTAATGCTAAAATTGAATTTAATCCAATTCATTGTAGAATTGAATTCTATTCTTTGCAAGTTTTATTTTTCAAAATACTCCGTTCCAAATAATTCTTTTGTAACGAGTTGTAATGCTTAAATTACTTTCACTTCAATTTATATAAATACAAAGTACTAATGTAAAATTTCAAAAAACTATATAAACTACATAAAAAATTCTTGAAAACAAGAGAAGAGAAAACTATATGCAATATTATTTTAACAAATTATTCATAAGAAAATTTAAAAATCAAAGTTATCAAAGCTTAACTCGATGACTAAAGGGCACATTTGTCTTTCAAAACACAAAAACTGTTTTTTTCTTTTCTCATGTTTGTACGATTGTACCCCACCCACCAATACAAAAAAAAAAAAAACCAAGTACCATCGTCTTATTCACTTTGTTCATCCTACCCACATTCTTCTCTCTTTCTACTCTTTACATTGTCTAAAGTCTAAACCAAAGTAACCGTAATATATTTAATCCTTCCAAGTCAAATATTCATCTTGTCATGAAGATGTAACTGTTCGGTCCTCACTGCACATAGACTTGTTGCTTACAAATAATAATAATAATAATAATAATAATAAATTAATAATAATAATAATAATAATAATAATAAATTAATAATAATAATAATAATAAATTAATAATAATAATTACAATACTCAACAAAGTCATTTCCTAATTTACCCTTCCTCATATTTGACTCCAACTGTAGTACAAGAAAAACACCTGCCACCTCTTAACGCCAACGATCATATGAACCCATTCTATGTACATTACTACATAAACATTTCACTACAAGAATTTATCTGGTCTGCAACGGATATCTGCTACAGAACCGTTTCCGTAGCAGATCTGCAACGAATCAGCGACGGAATAATAATTCCGGAAAAAGACGCAGTATCTGCGACGGATTTTATATTTCCGTCGCAAATCTGTGACGGCACATTGTCCCCTGTCGCAAATTCAAATTGGTCAAATTTTGACCTTATTATCTGCGACAGACATTCATCTCCGTCGCGGATCCGTCGCAGATATTTACTCAAAATCGAGATTGGTTTTTTCTCAGCCATTCGTCCGTCATTCTACCCTAATCCCAATTCTCTCTCCCGCCCAGCCTCTCAGCCCTCCGCCACCCGTCGACGCCCGTCCTCGCCGCCGACGTACGTCCTCGCCAGCCCCGCCATCGTCGCTAGCCAAGCCGGAACCTTCAGCCACGTCGTTCGCCCAGCCTCCAAGCCCTCCGCCACCCGTCGACGCCCGTCCTCGACGCCGAAGCACGTCCTTGCCAGCCCCACCGTCGTCGCCAGCCCCGCCGTCGTCGCCAGCCACGCCGGAACCTTCAGCCACGTCGTTCGCCCAGCCGCGCCGTCCACAACCCGTCGCCGCCGCGAGTACCCCACTGCCAGCCGTCTCTTCCCCCGCCGGACCTCCTCTTCATCTTTGCAGTGAACTTGGAGGTATTTTTGTTTAATTTTATGCAAATTATTATTATTTTTTTTTATTATTGTTATTATTATTTTTGTAATTTTTGGTGAAATTGAATTTGTTTGTGTGAAATTGAGTGCATTTTTGGTGAAATTTAGTTAAAATTGTGTGAATATGAGATGTAATTGACATAAAATTGGGTAAAAATTGCATTACTTTTTGGTGAAATTGATGGCATTTAAGGTATAATTTTAGTTGAAATTGTGTGAGTGAATTTGGCATTTATTGAGAATTCAAGTAAAATTTAGTTGCATTTTGTGAAATTGAGTGCATTATACATTTGTATTTGTAGTTAAATGATTGTTATTTGTGGCTTAATAAGATTGTCGTACAAATGAGCGATAATGAGAACCCCCCTCCCCCCCACGAAGACTGATAGAGAGGTGTTGACACGTTTGAGGAGGTCCGTCATTGGTAGATGGAGACCCTCTTCTCGCCAGGGATCGAGCACAACCACTACATCCACAGGCACTCCCTCTATTTCCTCGAGTCCATTCACTGACACACAGGTGTCCCCCTCCACCCCACGTACTACGCCATCTAGCCTTTGTACGTCAGGTATGTAGCTCTCCTCTTAGAGACTAATATAGTAAAATTTCCAACAGATAAGCCATTAGAGTGATGTTTCATTTATCAAGAAACTAAAACAATGTCTACGCTTGTTAATAGCTCTTTTTAATGCATGTATTATTGTATTATTGTGTAAATAGCATCTAGGGTCGGGGAGAGTACTGAGGATCAGGAGGACGAAGGTGGCGATGACCACAACTCCGAGGACCGCGTTGGCAATGGACACAGTGGTGGGGTTCGAGATGGCGAGGACCGCGATCACGAGGACGAGGAGGGTAGATATCACGAGGGTCCCGGTCATCGGGGTCAGTTCGTGTATGTCAATTCGGATGACGAGTAAGTACGGTGTACATTTGAAGATTATGGTATGACATAAAACATTTACAAATACCTAACGATTTTATGTCCACTACTTATATATGTTTGTAGGGTTACAATCACTAGCGCTGGTGCTGGTCTTATCACACCGGCATTCTACGAGAGGACGGACACAACTGGCATGTCGTGGGGCAAAGTCTCAGCGACGACGAAGGAGTTCTACTATCGAGAGTTCAAGGTTTTTTGGGAAAAATTATTTTTTAACTTCTTTTGATCACAAGAAAATTAATATATGTGAATAGAATCTAAATTATTTGCTTTTCTATGATGTCAATGTAGAAAAATGCTAGAGTGGATCCATCAATCGATGAGGGTAGGCTGAGGAAAGCTTTTCTCAAGAAAGCTGCTGAACGGTATGCGAATTTTACGTACAATCAAAGGAACCCAAGTCGATTGAAGAAGAAGAAGATGGACCCGAGGCCATTTGAGCAGTTGAAGAAGGTAAATTAGTAATAGTTTTCATATGAAATCGTATCACTATGTACAAGTAATTTTTATGAAATATACAAGTATAGGTTTGGGAAGAGGATCCGGAGTTTCTGGAGTTGAGTAAGACTAAGAAGAAGAACAGAAGGAAGGGAAAAGAGGATGGTCCTGCTCTTGGGACGTATTGTGGAGGTTCAGTTCCATTTTCTGAAAATATGAATCGATTGGTAAGATATATTTTATAAAATAATAGCTTTGCACTTGTTATTTAATTTGGTGGACATTAAATGTAAAATTTAATGGACATGTTCATTGAAACTTGAAGGCTAAGAAGAAAGGGGGGTCTGTGTCGTTGGATGAGGTTATCATCCACACAAAGACAAAGAAGCACGACGGCAAGACTTGGGTGGATCCTGAACATGCTGAGCTACAGGTAGTTTCTGTTATGCGCAAAATAGTTTGTGTTCATGTTCATAATGTTGGTGCTTTTGTCTTAAAACTTCTAAAGGGTGATAAATCGTGTTCTTATTATTGTTGTTGCTTTGATGGTGGTGTTATTGTCCTATCACTACAAGAATTTTAGCTTTTTGCGACGGAATATTTCCGTCGCAATTGGCTTCTTTTCTCTCGCAAAGAAGAGTTGTGACGGCGTTTGCAACCACTTTCATTCCGTCGTAGTTTTTTGGCCGCAAACCACCGTGCGACCATTCCGTCGCAACTCTGCGACCATATTTACGACGGCCTTTAGCCGTCGTAGATTTGCGACGGACTTTACAAGAGATTCAAAATGTTCTTGTAGACATATTTGCGACGGAGAATTGCGACGGCTGGAAATCATCGCAGTGGATTTGCGACGGCATTTGCAACTCCCAATATAACACGTAAAACATTTGCGACGGAATATGTCCGTCGCAAACTCCGTCGCAACATCACCAGATTCTGCAGGCAGAAATCAGTATCTACAGGCAACCATACAACTACAAAATTAGCCAAAAATCATATACCAACTAGAACAAAAGACAGAAACAGGAAAAAAACACAAGAAATGAACAATGAGAATTTTCAAACAAACCAAATATTGATCATAATCAGAGTCGTCTCCAATCCACAAAATGTATTATGCCTCAAATATAAGGTACTTAACAATAATAAATAAGGGAAGTACAATGTTCAAACACAGCCCGTCGTACCACCTGTACCACCACCATCTTCATTATCAAATCGACCATCACCATGACGACCGCGGAGCATTTTTAGTTCCTCCAATATCGTTTTATCCCTTGCTTCAACCATTGCTTTGAATTCTAGCAATTCCTTACGCAAATTAAGAACTTCATTGTTCTCCATGTCGGAGATACCGCTCGTGCTGGCTCGTCTGCTCTGTCTCAGAGTATTCTTTGGAATTTTACGCGCAGCTGAACCTGTACCGAAAACACGATTTTTTGCATCATGTCCATCAGCTGCCACATAAAATAGTTCTCCTGGCGCAACATCAATCCCCTCCTGAATAGCTTGTTCTTTCAAACTATTATAGTTCTCCTACATAATTTATGGATAACAAAATAACTCATACATACTTGTACATATAAATTATTACACACACACAAATATATAAATTATTGCAAAAGCTTATGACTTACTGCCACTGTCGCTGCTTTTTCGGTGATCCACGTTTTTTTGTCATGATTTTTGGTGTGGGTGTGGGTGTACGAGACAAAGGTAGAATCTTCTCCCTCGTCCAAGCTTTGTCTCTAATTTTAAAACAATAGAGTTATTATTAAATGAGTTAATGGTATCACTATCTACATTTATGTAATTAGCACTTACAAGAATCTCTTATACATCCACTCACGATTTTCAGAAAAATCATCCATCTGTACATTTTGATCATAATCAAAGCCTTATACATATAAGTGAAATTTGCACTAAATAGGACTAAAACATAATGACTTTCCTAATGTAGAACTTAAACTTTTTTATTCCCTAAATAGGACTTAATAATGACCTAGTGGAAAGAATAATGTCTTGTAATCATGAACATTTAGTTGAATAATGACTACTTGATAATGACCAAAAGTCCTAGATTGGGAAATAAAAACATATGGTCCTATATTGGGAAAGTCATTATGTTTTAGTCCAATTTAGGTAAATTTCTCTATACATAACACATCATTACATGCATATTCAAAGTTATAACATCCAAACATACCATACAAGGGTTGTACCAAAACAAAAAAGAGTAACATGAAAGCACATTTTTAGATTTTCACACCTAAATAAAAACAAAACACTCCACATACACATTCAAATCATACCCACTAACAAATTTGGGACATAATTGGCATTTTAAAATTAAAGAAAAAGAAAACATAAACTCTCCCGTAGCCCCAGCCCCCTCCCTCACTCTCCCGTAGCCCCAGCCCCTCCCCTTGTGTATAACAACCCCAGCCCCCT